GAACGGAACGCCCTCTGCGTAACATTCACTAACCTACTCACAGGTCTCAGAAATGTAAGGCTGAGCGAAAGGGGAAACCCAGACTGAGATCTGTAGCTCAATAAATTATGTCACAGCAAGGCAGTACTAGGCCTCTTCCAGAACATACATATATTTTGAACAAATATATAGCAGACACACCTAAAATACAATCAGCTGGGTCCTAGTGATGGGCAGAGAATGGAATTGGGCATGATGGGAAAAGAGGAAAAACAGCAAAGTGAAATTAAAATGACAGAGGAATATCGCCGGGATGTGACAACGAGACCAGGAGATGACGCCTGAGTCCCATGGGGGGCTGCGTCCCCGGGGACCCTGAAACCGAGGCGAGGAGGGAGGAGAGAGGAGAATGAGGCACTTAGTACTGAACAACCCTGCTTATCTGAGCTACTAAAAGCGAGTACTTCCCTCTCACTTTCGTAGATACCACCGGACAGACCATGGGGCTGTGAGCGCCCACCCTTCCTCAGGATGCGTCGCTGCTGTGAGTTCCTGTTTTTTTTTAACCACCTTTTTCTCTGTGGCAGGTGCCATTTATTATCATGAAGTTTAGGCCAGTCCTTACTGAAAGAGTGAAAAATCTATATGGGCAATTATTTGATAAATTTGTTGAAAAAGATTTTTTTCATACTGATGGTGAAACTAAAATGTGTTTGCTAGATCCGACCATCCCAGGTGTCAGGAGAAAATTGGTGTGGACAGCCAGAGTTGGGAGTCTTTTTTTTTAAAAAAAGGTAAAAATTGGGTCTATCACAACTTCCTTAATATGTTAAAACTCTACCTGTAAAATAGACAGCTGGAATAGCAAAAGTGAATTAGTCTTGGCCGCGGGAGGGCAAAGAGTAGGAAAAACAGGCTGAGCCTTACTGGGGAAGGGCCAGCCTGTTCCTGAGGTGGGGGAGGGGCTCTTTGCAGGGAGAAGAAAGCTGCTGACTCGCAGGGCCTCCTGGCTGAGGGCTGCGCTCAGAGAAGGGGTCAGGTTGAGAAATGCACGGAGCTGCTAATCCCGCGACTGACTGAACGACCAGGCATTCATGGGGCAGCTTCTGTAGTTTGTTTGCGTCTTTGCTTTTTGGAGGTAGTTTATTGATTTCTTCTAGTATTGTTCTTTTTTATACTAGATTTTATCTAGTAAATCACTTTATTTTACTTCCGCACTTTCAGGCAGGCATCAGTCCCTCTCCGCCCGGGTGAGGGCCAGCGCGCCGGCTGCAGGGGTCGCCTCACTGCTGCCAAGAGGAGGGCCCCGGGTTTGGGGAGCGAGGCTGCGGCTGGACACAGGGCCCGGCGGTGCGAAGAAGCCGCCTTCCACAAGACTCTCACTTTCCCTGTGACTTTTTCCCAGGCCTGCGTTATGCCTGACTTCGGTCTGTGGCACCTGGCGAAAAAGGTATTTCCAAAGGCGGCAAATATCATCCTATTTGGAGGAAAGAATTTCGGAGAAAGTTTATACGGAAAACTGCCTTCTTGCTTTGGAGATGGGATTGATCAAGTTTGAATATGACTATGAACTCAGAGATACAACAAAAAAAATGCATTTCAGTTAGGATGCCAGTTAGAAGACTAGTTAGGACACAGGAGGCTAGTTAGGAGACCAGCTGCAATAGTCCAAGCGAGAAGCCTGAGGCTCTGACCAGGGCGGGACCAGTGTCGACAGGGAGCAGTGGCTGTACATCTGGGGACAGTCCTCAGGGGGAGTCACAGCCTTTCTGCGGATGGGCAGTAGTGAGGGAAAGGGAGGGAGCCGGGGGTAACCTCGAACTCTGGACTCAGCAAAAATCAGTGGACAGTGACGCCCTTCCCTGAGCTTCCCTGCCCCCCCGCCCCCGTCCTGAAGGCCCCGCTTGTCCCACCGAGTCGCCCACCAGGCCTCCTGTGCAGCCCGGAAGAGCCTGGAGGGGTGAGAGTTAATCTTTCAGTTCCTCTGCGCCAGCATCTTGCACCCCCAGAGCGATTCAGAAGGAATCTGAGCCAAGTGAGTTGACCCTGACATTTGTCATTAGTTAGGAGCCACTGAGGAGCCTGGCTTCTTCCTGAAGCTTTCTGAAGTGGCCTCCAGGTCTCCTGGACTCTGACCTTTTCCTTAAACCACCGCCAAGAACAGTGACACGCTCTGGCCTGGCTGAAGCTGGGTGCCCTTCACCTCTCTGCCAGCCACCTGCCCTGCGTGGCCCGCTCGCCACCTCCCTGGCCAGGCCCTGGGTGGCCCGCTGGGCCCCAGGCCTCCCAGCCCTGCCCCCGCTGTGTCAGCGGCCAGGACCCTGAGCGGCCCGGCCGCTCTCTGTGCCGTAAAGGGCTTTGGCTTGGCCCAGCCTGGTATTGTTCATGCCTGGCTAATGACCTTAAGCATCTTTGCTGCTCTCCAAACACCAAGAAAAATCTGGCCGGTGGCTGCCGCCTGAGGCGATGGATCACAGCGGGTGGAGGGGGAGGGTACTTGGAGGAAGAAGAAAGCGGAGAGTAAAAGGTAAATACAGAGGGAGGACTTGTTGCATGCGGACTGGGCCAGGGACTCCGTGGTGCCTCGCACAGATGACTCCCTCACCCCATCCTGAGACGCAGGGGCGGTGTCCCTACTCAGCATGGAACTGCCAGGCGACCTGACAGCCGCCCCTCTCCCGGGGAGTGTGGAGGTGGGATTCAAAACCCACGCTGTCACTCCCACGATGCTGTCGGAGGGGCAACTGCTCGGAAGCTCAGGCCTTTTTTAACTATCTCTAAGCACATAATCAAAAGTAGTTAAAGCTGGAAGGAACTTTGGGAACCGACTAAACCAACTGCTTCGTTAGATGGAAAAAAAAAAAACCTCAAAGAGGGAAAATGCTGATACGTGGCCAAGATGATGCTTCCTAGTAGAGCTGAACGGAGAACAACTCCGGTTGCCCGGGTCCGTCCTGAGTAGCCTTGGGTTCACTGACCCCAGGATTTCATAGCTCGTCAGCTTGATTTTTTTTTTCCTGGAAACATCCCCCCTCCATGCTTCCCCCGGAGTGGGCTTCTATCGCAGAAAGCGTGATTCATGCAGGCGTAAATGTCTGGGAGATGCACATCACACCTACCTCAAAGATAACAGGAAATTAAAAACTGGGCACGAAGCTAACTCTTTGTTATCACGTGAAGAGATGTGTCGACTCATCGGGTCAGTCCACCCTCTGAAATATCTTTTTCCAAGGTTGCCAGTAGTTTCATATACTAAATTCAAAGGACTCCTTTCTAGTCTGACTTAACCCACAGCGCTTGCTCTTTACTGTCATAATAGAAAAAGAGAATCTCACAAAACTCATGTGTCCCCCACCCCCGTTTTTCCTTGCTTGTTCTCTCTGTTCCTCTTCATTCTTCTTCCTGAGATCCTTATTTTTGGCCTGTCCCTTAAATTTAATTGTTCTGCCAAATTCTGCCTCAGCCCTCTTCTCTTCTTATAAGTTGTTCTTGTTTAAACAAATCAGAGATATTCCAAGAGCATAATAAGCGAGCCCCTCGCCCTCCCCATTTCACGACTTCGCCTGGTTCCCAGAATCCTTGGGGACAACTATAGTCAGTGAACAGAAAGAGACAAAAGTGAAGTTGGACCTCTGAATCCAGGGACAACTTTAAAAAAAAAAGAAAAACTGGTCAGTTAGGGTCTCTTGTTGCAATGAGAACCAGGGAGAATAATCAGCATGCTTGGTACTAACAGGATTTGGAAGAGCTTTGTCTCAGGTAACCTGGGTGAGACATATTGATAAAGTGAACTGTGCTCGCAATATTTAGCAAGAATCAGTTCAGTGGACCTGATGTTCACTAATAACAAAGAGTTTAAACTAATGTGGAATCTCGAGAGCTGCATGTAGAGGGCAGGGCTTGGCAGGCGCTGGGTGTAGCTGGGGTCAGGGCCGGCCTTGCGCCGCACAGCCTGGTCTCCTTCCGGGCCCCTGGCCGACAGGCTCGTTGGCAAGGCAGCCTGGCTTCCAAAACGAGTGCACTAAGCTGGCTCTTCGGTAGTTTGCCCACATCGCAGCAAACAAGTGAATGTCTCATTTTACCTTTCTTTTTGTGACTTTCTAATGTTCTTAAAGCATCTCCGCGCAACTATGAAGGACACCGCGGGGACTCCGGCCCCTGTTAAAATGAACTGGCCCTCAGTGGGTTTCTGCCTTGTGAACAGCAGCTGGGCTACGTCTGGCGCTGCCCGCTCCAAGGCTGCCGCAGGTGGCCGACTTGACCAATTAATCCCCAGTAATGCGGGGCGGCAGGGCTCTAAGGTGGCACAAAGCCTCAAAGTCCTTCAAACTTGCTTTTTCTCATCCAAGAGGGGAAAAATGGCTAATTTCCTGAACTCTCAGTATTCTGGAAAACAAAATTTAAAATTTAACTAGCCATGGAAATAGGAATTGATTTGAAATAATGTTAGGTTCAGCTGGAATAGGTCAAAAGCAAAGAGTAGACTGTGAAGCTGAACCTACTTCTTGCACAGGCTGCTTAGCTGTTTGCTGTTTACATTTCTTCTCAGGAATAAACCTGTCCCAACATAGGAAGGGCCTTTGTAAGAGCCCTAAAGAAAGGAAGGAATTTCTGCTTATCGTTTCACACAAACCTGAATTTTGGGAGTCCATTTTCTTCCCCTCCCCGCTCTCCCTTCTTTCCTTTTGCAGTTACAAGAGTCCTAAACTACCAAAGAATTTTATCCTGCCCTAAAGCCATAATCCTAAAATTGCCGCGCCCAGAGACCTCTGAGATGCCCCTGGCTGCCCGCTGATTCTGTAGACTCTGAGCTCTAGAAAGCAGGAAGTGGAACTGGACGTCAGGCTCTCGAAGCCTCTTCCTCGCTCTGTTCTGTCTTGAAAGAGACCACAAGAGGCCTAGGTGCTTATTTTTAGAAAGATCTCTAGCAAAACGCTCCACGGGCTGTTATATGGTTTCCACGGGGAAGGCTCTTAGAACCAGCAGAGGGACGTGACGGTGGCCTTGCCACTGGTACTCACCAACGAACAGCTGGCTGTAGAGCTCCAGGCGTGTGTGGCCCTCGGTTGGCGCCTTCCGGATCTGCTGTGGCAGCCGGTCCACCTGCAGGCTGGCCTGCTTGACGTTCCTCTCTGCGGTGACCCGGTGCCACTGGTCATCGTTGAGCGGGGTGGGCGACCTCACCACAATCTCCACTGGTCCGTTCCCAACATCGAATGAAAAGGATACTTCTGTGGCAGCTGGAGGAGAAAGCATAAGAAACCCCTGAGTACTTTCCTCCCAGACACTGAAGAGCCAAAGAAAGTCACAGCCAGGGGAGAAAAATGATCTCAGCAAGTGTCCACAGCAAAGTCATCAGAATAGGGATAAAGCATCAATCTATTATTAGCCATTAATAACCCAGGGGAGGAAAACAGTTGTCCTGGGGGCCAGGTATACATCTGCTTTCCTTCTCTTTCGAGGCCTACCAAGGAGTTACCATCATTGACTCAAGATAAGAAAGCCAAGGCCGGGAGAGGTTCAGCGCGGCTGAGGGTCTGAGGCTGAATCGCCAGTGAAGTTAGGATGTGAGCCCAGGCTTGTCGGGGCGTTCGGGGCCACGGCCTTTTGAGTCTACAGCCAACGTAGCTCTTCAGTGGCCCCCGGGGTAGAGCTTCATATATGCGCTTTCTCTACTCCATCCCCAGAGAGTCTGGCTCTGCTGGTCTGGTGGAGGCTTTGGTATTTTTTCAAAGCTCCCTGGAAAATATGAATGGGTAGCTGGAGTTGAGAGCTACCACTTTGGGAGAATTCACAAAACTCCATTTCATTAATCTAATCATTATTGTTCCTACTGGAAGTTGGGGAGTTATGAATTGTTGAGGAATGTGAATGCAGTTGGCTTGCGTCTTTTTAAAAAGTTCACCTGAGGACATGCTCATTGATTTTAGAGAGAGAAGAAGGGAGGGAGGAACGGAGGGAAGGGGGGAGAGAGAGAGAGAGAGAGAGAGAAACATCAGTGTGAGAGAGAAACATCTATTGGTTGCCTCTCACACACACCCTCCCTGGGGACTGAACCCACAACCCAGGTGTGTGCCCTGACTGGGAATCCAACCAGCAACCTTTCACTTTGCAAGACGGCGCCCAACCCACTGAACCACACCGGCCAGGGCAAGGTGACCTTCATCATTTTTTTAAGGTGACCTGCATCTTTTCTGACTACCTGTGGCTGTCTGAAAGGAAGCTCCGGATGCCTGCACGAGAGCCCTTCTCTAGGGTCACTTACTGCACACTTCGGTCGTCCCCCATCTGGGAGGCTGGATCCTTCCTGTGACCGACCCTCCAGACCGACCACAAATCACGGTCTTTTCCTAGACCTGCTCCCAAACAACGCCCTCCTGCAGCAAATGGCCTTTCAACAACAGAAAATAGATCAGGTGGTCGCTTTGGCAACTTTGGTTGTAAGTAGTTTTCTTGCCTCACATTTTAGGGTTTTAAGTCCCCAATATTCTATAAACATGGTTTTTAAATGTCTATTTTTCTCACCGGTGGCAGGAGAGGCAGCTTCGTGGAGAAGCAGCACACATGTCCGCAGCTGCTCGGTCTCCCTGCGCGCTTCCCGCCACTCAAGGGCGGGCCCGCCCCACAATTCTGCAGCTTTGGCTATCAAGAGCTTTAGCCCCTCTATCTACCAATATGCCTCTGCCTAATCTCTGAGCGGCTTGACTTTTTATCCCGGGCTAATGGAAAATTCAGCTGCTCTGGACTGGCCCCATTGTGAGATGATGTCGAAGCAGTCAGACTTCTAACTTGCAAACCGCAGCAGGCCCGACTCTCCCAGGACCTGCGCCGGCTCTGCCGCTGGGCCAGGCCCTCCGGGAGCCGCCTGGACTTTACTGAGCTCCAGGGATATGAGATGCAGAGGTCAATTAAGTCAACCTAATTGAACCAAGGGATTTTGATCCTTTATGTCACCAGAAAGGGAACTTGGATTTTGATACCTATGGCAGTTCTACCCACCTTCTTGTAAAATATCTCCTCTAAATTAGGATGGAGTCCCGTGACCTTCATCAAGTGTTTATGAAAGAATGACCGGAAGGTGGGCCGACAAGCCCACGACTCATACGCTGAATGACCTTCCCCTGCATTTTTGGTATGGTCCTCAGGGAAATGGCACCCCGAGTCTTAAAGACCGAGCCTGTTGGGTTCTCCTAGCGCTATGTTTTTGCGGATGCATTTCAAAATGGAAGTTGTCGGGAGAGCAAGAGAACACGGGCTCCCGAGCTAAGTGGAAAGGATTGCTTCATTTTAAAGGTATCAGCGACCATCAGGGAAACAGAATTTAGGGGTAAATTGAGTTTGACCCCAAGGTTTGACTTGGAGGGATAAATGCTGCTCTCATTTCCGCCCTTCCTCTCCTCCTGCTGCGATGAATTCTTGTCCAGAGGTTACCTGGGAGGCACCCACGCTTTCTTCTCTGCTGGTCACAGGGGATGCCCTGTTTCTTCCCCTGGACGGTGGGTCTGAGAGGGAGTCTCCGAGAAGCTGCGGTAGCTCAGTCTCATCAGCCCAGCGGGGCCCTGGGAGAGAGGCCGGACCGAGGCCTCCTGAGAGCACAGCCCTCTGCAGAGCCTCCAGCAGCGGCAGTGGAGCAGCTCCGCACAGCCCTCTCCCCTGTGCGCCTCCCGGGAAGGGTGGCGTGGCCGGGGCGGCGCGAGGAACCGCTGCCTCTTCCTCAGTCGTTCCTCGGGAGCTTCCCTGAGGTCGCTGAGGGGCGCCTCTGAGAAATGCCGCCTCCCAGGCGAACGGCAAATGCGCTGTGAAAGCGTCTGAACTGCAGTTTGCGGCTGATTGCTCCTGATCTTCTGGGCGAGAGGCGCTGGCATTTTAAAGACGTAATTACAGAGAGAGTCAGAAAGCAGACAAGAGGGAGGCGGCGTCCTCACTTAAACCGTCCTCACCTCCTGTGCGTCTCCCGTTGGTGAGGAAGCGTCGCCCTGTTTCTGCCTGTGAAAAGGACTTTCTTGCAGAAAAAAATTATCCTTATTTCCAGAAGAAGGTATTTGAGACTTGGATGTATCTCCTGTGGCTCGTTGTAAAGGACACTGTAGCAAACACTAGTATCGAGAACAAGGAAGCATCTGAGATTTCTCCTACTTGCAATGGAACAAGTTGGCCTCATAGACCCATGGGCGCTGGCCGAGGACGGGAGACTCGTGGGTCAGAGACAAAGGACTTCTTCAGCCACAGTGTAGCAGTGACGTGAACTTGAAGTCCACATGGGTTTCCCTTGTCCCCCAAGTCCCACGGGGGCATGTGCAGCAGCCAGGGTGAAGCTTGTGTCACAGATGAGAATGCTGACCCTAGGAAACCGCAGCCTCTCTGAAGGGCGGCTGGCGAACCCGTGCCACCTCCGCCATGGGGAGAGGCCTGAGCTTTACTATCCTGGCCTGAAACCAGGCCTGCCCTCTGCTTCGGAGGACGGTACTAGCTTCCAGGGCTGTCGGCTACGTGTGCACCTTTGAAAGGCCATGGGCAAAACTCGCAGTGCCTTTTGCTCAGAAGTCAGGCAGAAACAGGACTCATGGAAAGACTTTCCCCAATGACTAGCCATTCTCCACCTTTTCTTTGGGAGCCCAGGATTCTGTGTGCGTCCACAGAATCTTCAGCATCACGTAAGGATGGCCCTCCCAGGCCCAGAGGGTGAACTTGGATTTGTCTGAGTAAAACGCGGCGATTCCCTGTTCCTATCCTCATTAGGATGGGACATATTATTCCCTCCTGGCCAATAAGACATGAGAGGAATTCTTGAGGGGGCCTTTTTGAGACAAATTTCTTAGCTCACCAGGGAAAAAAAAAGTTTCTTTTTTGCCCCTTGATTTTACATGAAAGTTGTGGTTCCTCATGTTGCTGAATCCATCTTGTAAACACAGACACCGAGGAGACAGAGAGGGCAATGGGAATAACCTGACTCTTTGGCGACACCGTTCAGCCCCTGAGTTTTTACTGCAGCCACCTCAAGACTTCTCATGAGAGATGTACGCTCTTGTCTAAGCTATTTTTATTGCACCTAAAATCATCTTAGCGTATATAGGGAACAGCTCAACAATCAGTATACCTGAGTTCTAGTCCTTGCCTTTTCACCTTTTTGGGGCTTCTGTTTATTGGGGTCTGACGTGAGGAGCACGTCTATAGCTTTCCAGTTCCTGAGTCCAAACTGTGTTTGAAAACACTGAGCTAGAGGATCTCTAAGGTCCCCTCAAATGCCATCGCTCTATGATCTAATTTCTAAAAGATCCTTAGAGAAATAATAAAATTAAATACAGCTCATCTTAATGATAGTTTTAGGTAGTGAATCACTATAAGGAGAAAATAGACATTAAAAGAGAAATGCACACAGTGGCATACTGGCATCAGGAAGAAGTATAGATGGCAGAAATGACCTTTAATACACCTGGGAGTGACAAAACAAGGAACCAAACAGAACCATGGACAGCGCTTGACATTCCCTCCTCCCCTCCTGTTAATTCCGGCAGGTGGCACTGTTCGCTCTCCTTCTAAGTCAAGTTTTCTCAAACAAATCACTGCACACTTAATGCATCAAGTGACAAATTTAACAACTGACCAGGATGGTGGACTTCGGGGCTCTGAGCTCTCACAGCAGGTGAGACATCAGACTCAAAGTGTCAATTGCACCTAGCAGAAGAAAACTTGGTCATTCAACGTAGAATAGGTAAAGAGAAAAGACAAGGAAAGAAGGGCACACGCAGTGAGCGTGCTGAGAGGACCAGCTACACTGTTGCGGCTTTGACAATGATTTGTTTCTTCCATTCTAAAACGAAGTTCAAGGATTGATAACTTCCAAAGGGAGGCTCTGTACGAAATCTCATTTAACCATACAACAAAATCGGTAATAGGCAGAGCGGGTATTTTAGCCTCACTCTGCAGTGAGGAATACATATTCTATTCTCTTCTTTTCATGAAGGAAGGGCTAAGCGTACATCAGGAGACAGAACAATTTATGCAACAGGGGAGGGTTCTAAGATGAGGCGGGAGGGCTGGAAACGAGGTCACTGGGGGCACCGGAGGAATGAAGGGAAGCAGGAGCAAGTGTGGAGAATGCCCTTGCTCCCCTCTAAGCCAGGCGCCCCACCTGGGCTCTGGGTGTCCCCTGAGCTGTCTGTTCAATGGCACCCCCGGCTGTCTCCCCTTCTCCCCTCGGCATCTACGTCTCTAGTCCTGACAGCCACTGCCGCCGTGG